GTCTTTGCAACCCAGCTCTACTTTCTATTGGAGTGATTCTCTATCTTTCTGAATCCATGGCACAATATTGAATCTAGCAATAGTTCTGTGGCACACCAGAAAAGTATTAATCTGTATATACATATTTTTAAACATGTAAGATATAGCTCGAGGGGAAGTTACATATTTTTTTTTAATATCTGCAGTTTATTGAATATACAGATTATACATAATACAAGGGGAAAAAATAAAAAATAGCATAAGACAAAAACCTTGTGGTGCACTAGAAACAAGCCTGTGGTACACCAGTGGCCATAGCACACTGGTTGAGAACCACTGCTTTATTGAATGGAGCTGCTGTAGGCTTCTGGCTTGCTATTGTCTAGAATCTTCCAAAAGGATCTCTATTAGGCATATTAAGATTATGCTATGTTCACACGGGCTCTCTTCCTTTTAATTGACTCCCATGCTTTCCACAGGCTGGTTCTGGAAATCAACATTACATTATATGTAGGAATTTAGATCTTCTTTCAGTAGGCTTTGTATAGTACGTCTGCTGTTTTTGCTCTTGCTCTTAGATCAATGCTCCTTTGTTATCATTCCCTAGCATACAGATTCTTCTCTAAAATGTTTGCAATGTGTGAAAAACCAAATGCCAGCTTTGCCCATTACTCATGCTTCTTACAGGCAATGATCGATACACAAGCATGCATTATGCACATTTTCCACACTCATTCTTTATTCACACACACATGCTTACTTTGCAGTCTATAGTTCACTGCATTTATACAGGCTGAACTATAAGTGGTTCATTCTTATCAATGCATTTCCATAATCAAATAACATAAACTGTTACAGGAATTATTGCACTATGCAGTTATGAAAACGATTCTGTTGCATATGTTGTTATTTGAGTATTTCACCTGAAGAGCTGCAAACTATAAACAATATAAGAACATAAGAAAGGCTCAGCTGGACTCTGTGCCCCACAGCAGCCAATTGAAGGCATCTGGGAAGCTCAGAAGCCTAAGCTGAATGGCGAGAAACTCGTCCACTGTCATTTTCAGTAACCAGTATTTCAGACCTGCCATCAATGAGTCAGGAGATAATTCATCTGACGTGTTCTTCTCTTCCAGTCTTCTTTGAAACCAATTCATTTCAAATATACCCTACTGGGCCACATATCTCCTGCTGAATCTGAATGAAGACTCCATGCTAGGCTGGGTAGCAATATCATAACTGGAGTGCTCAGGAAAAAATAATTAGAAGAATAGAATAGAATATTTTATTGGCCAAGTATATAAACAGTGCCAGAACAATAGAGAAGAGGGATAAATTATCATTTGATATTACACACACACACACACACACACACACACACACCTCTACTGTGTATATAAGTATAAGGAGAAAATGGGTAGTGCCAGAGAAGAAATATTTTTATCAAATTAATATTTGATAAATGTTGAATAAGTGAATGCATATATAATATAAGGCTTTCCTGCACTTACTTATCATGAGATCTAGAGGTAACTTCATTACGCTTTCTTTTTTCCAGAACATGTGTGGTAATAAAACCTTATATTACATTCAAGAGAAATTGTCTTTTTTTCAACCACAACCCAAATATTTGCACCTGAGCTTTTTTTCATAGTGGTCTTCCCATACCCTGCTTCCTATCCTCTTCAACCATCAGAACTCCTAACCTGCAAAGCAGTTAGGACAATGTGCAAGCAGCTTGCCACTGACATTATTGCCAAAATGCAAATGTGGGAGGTTCTCTGGGGTCCACATCAAAGCCTCAGAGGTGGCACTTACAGCCAACAGGTTTTAAGATCTTCCTCCATTTCTATCTGCTCTGTGACCACCGAGTATTAATATGACTAAGGCTACATATGAGATAGAGACCAGCTTAATGTACAGCGTGTAAATCACTGTCTGAAGACCTACAACTATCCAGTCCACATAGATGCACATTTCATACTTAAAACAATTAGTTCCCTATGTTATTCTTGTATTTTCCATTTAGTGATATCCTATGTTTTTCCTTTCTAAACCAGAATGAAAAGTAGAACTACCAACTGAGCTGCAAAACGTAGGAATGCCACCAGATGGCAGCAAAGATTTTGCTTTTTTTCTCGCTTTCCCTGCCTCCATCTGGTGGTTATTTAGATTTCTGCAGCTCAGATACCTTAGCCCTAGTGCTGGTTGGGGGGTTCAGGGGCATGCACATATGCATGCACACAATGTTGCCGAGAGGGAAGATTTTAAAAATTAGATTAAAAAATCTTCCTACAAACCCACTGACCATAGAAGCCCCTTAGAGAAGATTTCAGAGGAACATGTTAGCTTTCCTACTCAGAGAGCTGTTTCTGGGCCCTGAGGAAGAGGTCCATTTCCTGAAATACCGGTTCTTGCAAGACACAATGGCCATAAAGCTCACTCAGCAAAGAAGGCAGAGCTTCTCCAATCAACGTTGTGGTTACAGGAAAAGAAAAATGAATTGCAATCACAGCAACATCAGTAAACTGTGAGGAAGCAAAGGGTTGTCGATATCTGTGGAAGGCCACAACAGTTCTGGAGGACTCTGCACTGGTGACAGCAAAAGAATGGCTAACATTACAAAACCTATCACCTTGCTAATATGTGTGGTACATTAGAGATTGAAGGCTGTAAGGACTTGATCTAGAAACAATTATTCATAATGTTGTTTCCCACAGCTTTTTCTGGGCAAACTTCCTTGCTCAGCTTCTGTATTTATTGGCCAGTATCTGTATCAAGACTGATAATTATCATCCCAATTAGCAACTAAGTACTAATTATGTAGCAATAAACATAGCTTATGTGCGAAAAGCTCTTGGTATAAAACTATCCCACAACATTATATCAAGTTTTAGAAAAGGCTACAGATATACAGTCCCAGTATCAAAGATGGTGGAGACGGAACTAGCTTATTTTAATAGTTTCCTTCCCGGAATATTTATTCATTTAAGAGTGTTCCCCCCTCTGACTATTCACATGCTACTGCAGTCTTTAGTTTGGCACAATGCAGAAGCAAAAAATAATATTGCCATGACATTTATTTATTTATTTATTTATTTTTGGCAATGGTTTTTCATTCAAGACAGTTTCATTGTATGTCTTTTATTTTATAATTTTGGGGCAGGAAAAAATGGATTCTTTTAACTTTTTTTTTTTAATTTAAAGAGAGTTTCAGCCTGCAAAGTTATTACTAACAGCCCACTGGAAAGATGCTCATCTCTGACTAAATAAAAAACAAAGCCAACAGCTGAGAAGCTCTAGAGAAAAACTAAATCAGTGAAATGATATGAATAAATAAAGCACAAGTCTGATGGACCCCAAGGAGAAAGGGCTATTATTTCCCCAAGAACTGCAGAGTAAATTACCCATCGTACTTTAATTTATTTTATTTCCATTATCTGCCTAAGGACTATTGAAGAAAGATTCAAAATTCCTGTTTCATAACAGGAATTGTAATTGTAAAGGTAGTAGTAGTTGTTGTAGTAGTTCTGAATCATTTTCAAAGTATGTGTAGCCCAAGTAGAAATCCAGCCATTGTTTTAGCATTTTGTAAGCATAAGACAGTTTGGTGTAGTGGCTAAGGCGCCAGGCTAGAAACTGGGAGACCAGGAGTTCTAGTCCCACCTTAGGCATGAAACCAGCTGGGGGACCTTGGGCCAATCCCTCTCTCTCAGCTCTAGGAAGGAAGCAATGGTAAACCACTTCAGAAATCTTGCTAAGAAAACTGCAGGGACTTGTCCAGGAAGCCACCAGGAGTCAACACTGACTTGAAGGTACAAAAAAAAAAAAAAAAAAAAAAAAAATACCAGATCTGAACCACAATATTCTAGACAACCATTAGATGGCAGCAAAGGAATACAGAAGACTTTTTAGTGCCACCAAGTGGTCATCTGGAGCTCAGATGTGCCAGCCCTAAATAACAAGAAGAAAATAAATGACTATAAAAATGTTAGAATAAGACACATGTTTTTCAGCCTTTCATGCAACCTGAAAAAAAGATGATGCTGCTTTAAGGAATCCACTCATTAAAGTGCAGATGACTCTTAAAAGGCTCACATAGCAAACTGGAAAAAGTTGGGCTGATTTTTTGAACCAATGAAAGGCACTGAGTTTCCACAATATCTAAACAGTTGTACTGAATAATTTTCAAAGTATGTGTAGTGGAAACCCAGCCCTTGTTTTAGCATATTGTATGAATCAGAGCTTCCCATTAACTCATAGGATGGTGTATTTGCTTGAGAATACAACATTATGTTACTCCTCTAAAAGTCACAGAAAGGCCATTCTTAAAGAAATGGAGAAGTGTTGTGAAATGTCCTGACATTTGAATCACTTCAGGAATAGAGTGAGTTGCTATGGGGAAGATTGGGGGTGGGGGATGGGGGGAGCATTTTCTGCAGTAGAGGAAAAAAATTAAAAATAGAGTTTGGACACTTACATTTTGGTTTGAGTCCTCCTGGATTATGCCACCATGAGAATGACAGTGGCATACACCATACCTGTACTGAGAGAAGTCAGTTGTCTAGAAGCCACTCTGTTCTGGTTTTCAGATTCCCAGACAAATGATAAAAACAAAATCTAGCATAATCAATTTCTAGTGGTTTACTATAGCTCTTGGCTGATGCAGCTTGGTCCTTATTTAGGCAATCAACTAGTGGGTCTGTTTTAAAATGTTTGTAAAATGTTTCAACATTCACCATTTATTGAGTCCATCTATTGGTTTATTCATTCCATGCTTTATTGCCACTTAATCACTTTTGCACACTCAGAAAGACTAGACTTTCCTGCAGGATTTCTGAAAACAGAATTTAAGCCAAAGATTGCATCTGTCTTTCCGGACATTCTTTTATCGACCTGACTTATAGAGGGAATATCATTTGTCTTGAAAGAGGGATTACTTTTGGAGGGGGGGGAGGAATTTCACTAACTTGGATATCCTGATTTCTTTCCTTTTCTCTGATTATTCTTTCTGTCCACAGTTCCAAAGACGGCTCCTGCTAATGTAAGTGGCAGAAGTGGCAGACGGCATGAATTAGTAATAGCCTGGGAGGTAACAAACTCTTTTGATTAAATTCCTTGTTTCATGTTGACTTCTTTGAGGGCAAGCTAGACACTGTAGATCAACACTGAAGTTTCCCCATAGCAAAGCTTGTCAATGTAGGTACACAAAAAGAGTGTGTATTAAATGTTGGTTAAAACCTCCCTTCAGGTTTTAATGTATCCAAAAAAACAACAACAACACACCTACTAACTGTTGAGAGAACCTGGTGTTTGCAACAACATTCCTATTTTAAATATATTTTTGTTTCCATTCTGCTGAGCACTCAGTCTATACTTGGGATCACTATGGGCCATACTCAGTTACAGATCTTTAATAATGGCTTTGAGATATTTAAAATATCCAAGAGTCCAATAATGGGTTCAAGCAACTAGTGCCCTATTCTTGCTCCCTATCTGTGAATAATAAAAAAATTATTGTGTTTTAGTAACTCAATTTACTAAGTGTTTGGCATTCTAAGAAAGTAGTAATTCATTTTACTAGTTCCAGCTCCAGATGGAGTTAAACAATAGCATAGGAGTCCATGGGAGCGACAGGGGGAGCAATACGTCATAATATCATGACACAAACACCACCCCTTCCCCACACATACAACATAGTGGGAGTTCGTTTTCTATTTTTCATCATTTGGGGGATTAGGATAAGGATTGGTGGCCACTACAGATTGTCCCAGGTTTGTAGAAGAAACCACCACTTAAATTTCAAACAGTACTACATCATACATCATGAACACTATGAGAAATTAAAAGAGTGACTCCTAGACTTAGAGACAAAAGAAAAAAGAAAAAGAAAAAAGCAGGACAAAACACGTTGGAAAAGCAGTGCAGAGGGATCATTTTTGAAAGATGTGAATTAAGGGCTAATTTAAAGGCCCAAAACAAGGTGATGATTAGCTGTTTCTATAGACTTAAAGAAAGGACCAATGGCATTTTCAAGATTACTCTGGATCTATTCCATATTTTAAGATTTGTTCTTTATCTAGGATTAAAATATAGCATTCCCTTTCAAGTTAATAAGAGCATTCTTCCTTTCTTTTCCTTTCCTTTCTTTTTTGCCTTAAGACAGTTACACCATGAGTGTCAAAAGCAGCGTTAATTTAACCTGCCAATTATTGAGATTTTATTGCTACTTGTCTCTGGTTTTAATGCTATTTTTCAAAATTGTTATTGTTTACTTATACGGTAGGAATTACACTAAATTACTTATTAGAAGTTCTACTGAAATAAAAGAGACATTTATTTAAGCTAACTTCAGTCCTATTAATTTCAATCAGTTTTATTTATGAGTAACTCAGTATGAATGCTATCCGTGAATTCTATAACCAGTTTGTAAAGAAGGCAGTATAAAATTATATTAAACAAATGAACTGCATCCATAGAGTACATTCAAATAAATTCCACTTTGTATTCTGACACATAAAATGTCATTTTATTACAATCTTGCAGCATGCTCTACATTTTTGAGGTTTCCAGCTGGCAAGCCTAAAAGAGATTTGGCAGCTAAGGAGCCAGGTGGATTTTCTTTTTTTCATTTTTTTTCTTTCCTTTTTTTTTTTTTTTCTGATAGAAGCCTAGCTACTCTCACAGGAGAGTGGCTTGTGAATTATTGTTTAGCAGCTAGGTGTTATTCAGCCTATTCAGAAAAGCTTGGGAAGCCTTCATTTCTGTGTGCTCATAGGACTGGTCTCATGACAAAGTTGAACCTGATTTCAGCAGTGAGATTGCAGCAATGAAAGCTACATATCAGAAATAAACAGGATATTTATTTTCAACTTTATTCTATATCTCTGATCACATGAAATAAGGATAACTGAGTTGAATTTGTATCTCATGCCTAACACCCTAGTTCTCTACACTGAATGGCTACTGGTATGAACCAGTGATGGATGGATACTTTTTTTTAATAAGGATGTCTACACTCAGTTGCTGGATATGGGTCAGGGTTGCTAAGCAAGTATCATTAAGTCATGCCTCAATTAAATCTTGTCCAGCCTTTTCCAACCTTGTGCTCTAAAGAAGCTAGTTGGGCATGACAGGAATTGTATTTCACCAGTATGCTATTGGATAGCACCAGAGTGGAAGAGAAGGGTTTTGTCTGTGAAGCACTGGGATACAATACAAAAGGAACAAGCAGGGTTTGTGCCTAAACTAAAGTCCACAGCCTGTGAGTCACCTGTTGATTTTTCAGCACTTCCAGATCATGCAGTCAAAATTGGATGATGTTATTTTGGCTGTTTTGGGAGAGTTGTAAGAGTGTTCAGGGAAATGGATTGGTGCTTGGAGGCCTCACACTCCCATTCCCACCTTATCCCTCCCTCCCAAACCCTTGAAGAACAGTTAAAAATGTTCAGTCCTACTCTTCTGGTGATGTCATATAATCACCAGAAAGCTTTCTGCAACTTTCCAGAAAGTTGGGAGCCCAAGTTGTGGCCTCCAATAATTCAATTACTCACTCTTCCCTAGACGATTACTACTACTACTACTACTACTACTACTACTACTGCGATGATGATGATGATGGTTGGTCACACAGTCAGCCAGATGTTTAGACTGGATTTGGCATTTTTATCCACCTATCGAGTCCTTCCCAAGAACCTGGGTTATTATTATTCTTATTTTCCCCTTTTGTTTGGCCACTTATTCCATAAATAGTTAAAGGGATCAGTGTGAAAAGTGTACTTTCCAAAGGCAATGTGTTTTTCCTTGAAAAGAAAACACAAGGTGAGAAATTGTGCTTTTGGATGAATTCAGAGGTTGGCATGATGGTGCCCAGGAAAGCCTAAATAACATCTACTATCCTTACAGACTAAATACAAATAAATAATGCATCATGGCTGTCTCCCTTGTGATGATCTTACACGTTTCTCAGCAAGTGGAAAGGAGAAAGCCTAGGCTGTGGGAGATTGTAAAATGGTGTTTGTGGCCAGAAAAGCTTACAGCAATTTATTTTTTAAGATGTACTCTTGCCTCCCAATCTGACTGAACATTAAGTGTTTGCCTTTGGACTTTGCAGAACCTTTGCTCTTCCAGCCCTGTGAAATATCAAACTCTCTAGAAGGAATTTGCTTAAAACCGTGTGGCTTAGATATCTGTTGTTTGTTGGCTCCCTTCAAGCGCTCTCATTCCTATTGATTCTCTTTCCTCCATGCTCTTTGAGTCATTGACAGCACTGAAACCTGAGATGGAAAGAACCACAAATGATAGGCACAAAATGGCAGGGTGGGGCAGATTAAGACCATGGTATGTTACTGTCCCCATGGTTGCCCCAAATGCAGTCTGTCTCCTCTTCTCCCCAACCTACAGATTGCTAGAGGAGGAAAGTTTCCATTGACATGAGTGAAAAATGTCATAGCTAGATTGATCCTGGGTCTTGCAACTGGTAGTAGGAGTATGATGCTTATTGAGGCAGCCCTTGAGAATTACCTTGAAATCATACTGCCTGCTAGCAATAGCCTTCTAACTTGTGTGATATATACTGGAATCACATTTTGAAATGCCAGGCAATAATTACACATATGCCAGGAATTATTTAATTCTTTTAATAGATCTTCCAAGAAATCCCATTGCTGCTTTAAAAAAAACATTAAAAAGCAGAATTCTATTTAACAGGTGAAAATTTTACATTTTAATAGGGATTGAACAAAGAAGAAAAGTAAGAATCTTCTAACAAATAAAAGAATAGCCCCAATGCAATTACACTTTCCTTGCAAGTTTCATACTGAATCGTTATACAATCCTGTTCTTTTCCTGTTTAAAGCAATCACTTTAAGGTTACTCAACACATGCTAAATACAGACACAGAATTTAGCAATGGGAAGATGTTTAGGCCATTGTGCAAATGGGCAGGATGGACTCAGGAGCCAAAAAAAGTTGCTTATCTCAGCAAGATACACCTTTCCATACTGGGTGGAAGGAAAGCTATGACTCCTTGAACAGGATGTTTGCTCAGCTGGCTGGCTAATTATTAAATATTAAGGCTGTGCAAAGCTTTGATTCAAGAATTCAGTTAGAAGGTGATTGAATCCCACCTTTAAATGGTCAAAGTGAATTGCTGAATTGATTCAGTGCATCAAATCAAGGGCCTCACAATTAGTTTTTTGGATTCAGTGGGGTTTTGCCCATATACTCAAATATTGTTTGTCAAATCAAATTGGCAGAATCAAAACTGTTTAATGCAACAGTTTGAATCAACTTTACAAATTGGACCTTAGGTAATTTAACTGTTGAGTGGTAATTTCTTTTTCTTTTCTTAGACATCTTCATATTTAAAACAAACATGGACTATGCGGCCCTTCTAACAGATGTCCTCTGAATTTGGATGCCCTCCAAACATGTGAACTTCAACTCCCAGAATTCTTAGCAAAGGCTCTCTGAGAATTCTGTGAGCCATATAACTTGAAGTTACCCCAACTGAGGAAGGCTGAAATAGAGTATATATTTAAATAGAGTATCTCCTGCAACATAGGATATATGATTACTCTAAAAGTACATAATAGGTACTGAGTGGCACTGATTTCCAATAATTGCACTGTCATAGCTTCACAAACTTACATTCTCTTCCATTGGGAGTGGGGGGCAAGAAACAGCCTCCATTAAAGCTTTGTTCAAATGATGCCCCTCTTGAGTGGGTTGGACAAATCCTAAGGAATAATAAGTGAACATGTCTTTCTTTAGCCAGTCTCTGAAGAATTTCAGAATGGGGAAGGCTTTGGATACATTGTGGCTTTCCGACCCAATGGGACAAGAGGCTGGAAGGAAAAAATGGTCACATCTTCTGATGCGTCCAAGTTCATCTACAGAGATGAAAGCGTGCCTCCCTTGACTCCATTTGAAGTGAAAGTTGGAGCATATAACAACAAAGGTGATGGACCATTCAGCCCAATTGTTGTGATCAGTTCTGCTGAAGGAGGTGAGTACATCAAGTAGGTCAGCTGCATCTTCTTAGCCATAGCTGATTCTCAGACATGTTTTATTGGAGGTAAGATCAAACATAGGAAACTTAAATAAATGCATGCCAAGGTAGAATTTAAATGTGCACGATTGACCTCAGGGGTTGGTATTGTTAGCCATCTGCCAAGGCCATTTCTTGCAGACAGCCTGTTACTGATACATGGAGCCTTCTGTACTTCATTATTTCTCCTGCTATTTTTCATGTATCGGGTCCAAGTGTGCAAGCATGTTAAATTGTCTATTTTTTTTTCTAAACAAAATAAAGGAATGAGAAGGGGAAGAGGCATTCATCTTGTCGCTTTGGGCACTTGCGTAAAACAAAATAAGTAAATAAAATAAAATCAAGAAGCTTTTGAAAAACTCAGAAGCAGAATCTTCATTTTAATACAACCCCCATGCATTTACATTTTCTCCTTGTTTTATCCTATATCAGTGTAATTTCTTCCTTGGTTATTTCTGTCTATTCAGTTCAATAACCCAGTAATGACAAATGTCTGTAAACCCTCAAATATTGACAATATTTTAGCCATTATATTTTAGCTAATTATTTTTTCTGACTTGAATGAAAAAAATACTCATGTTATAATTTCAAATACTTTGGATGCTGTTCCCTATTGGGACCTGATACAATTGCCCTCTCTCAAAAGGATCTATGTGACAATGATAAGAAGGAGAAGGGTGTTGCTTCAGGAATGTTCATAGAGGCATCTTAACCAAGTTTCCATCAAAGTCTGCAAATGGAACTCTTCTTTTGTGCATATATCCAGATAGGAAACCAAAACCATGAGTACTAATGCTACCTTCATTGTAAGGTTACAGGAACAGAATCTTGCAAGTCTGAAAGCACTTCCCCCTCCCCTACCTTTCCTTTCCAAAAACTAGGGAGGGTCCCTTCTGAGAAGCTTTCTCCACCCCCATCCCCGCTTTGGACTCAGATTTCTCTTGTCAGACCATTGTCTAGGCTGCAACTCTTCCTCCTGCCTCCCAAAGTGATTCTCACAGCCCATTACAGTATATGAATGGGCTTCTTCTGCTGAAATGACCGTGATGACTGATGCAAAGATGTCTTCAGGTAGATACTGCATAGGTATGACTCGGGGTTGCTTTAATTTGGATTCTTGCACCAAGCAGAGATTTGGACTCAGTGACCTCTATGATCCCTTGCAAGTCTGTGATTCTCTCTGTGTTATTGAATATTGTGATGGAATGTGGGTTTGACGTACAGAAGGGGGAGGAGACTGCCGAGCTGCTACAAAAAGGGTATCTGAGTCCTGGGAAAACAGAACGTGCATAAGAGAAACTCAAAACAACTCTGCTTTGATTGTATTAGGTATAAGTTAAAGTAGAGAGGGGCTTTGACAGACTTTTGAAATTTGCATTGAAGTATGTTCCAAGACTCCTAGAAACTCCAGTTTCCTGACCCTGCCTATCTCAAAGGGCTGACAAATATGGAGCTGAAGGCTGGTTGCTGAACACAGTAAGCATATTTGATGACAGAGGCAAAGCATGCATGAAAATAAATAGAATGCTTAGTGAATGTTCAACATTGGGCAGGGAATAAAGGAAGGGTCTTTAAGTCCCCTTGGCAGTTTAATGCATTTATAGTTGAATCTATAAGGAATGTTTGTGGCCACACTAGAGGTGTATTGATTAAGAACGTGAATGTGGAAGTACCTTTATATGCAGATGATGCTCTGTTTTTTGTCTGAGAACCCAAATGATTTACAGCAAACATTAGAAAGAATATATGGGACCAAAAGGAGTATGGCTCTGAAAATTAATATACAGTAGTTATGTTTCCCAGGGAAAATGGAGTGAATGATTGCAAGCTATATATAAAAAATGAAAAACTACAGCAATTGGATTTGGGTACCTTGATAGCATGTTTACTAAAGATGGGGATAATGGACGGAGAAATGCATGCATCTCCATTGTTATATGGAAGTGAAAGATGGCAAGAAAAATAGATGCAAGTTGAATGCAGCAGGAATTATGTATGTAGTAAAAATGTGTGGTAAATCAAGAAGAGATGAATAGGGTGAAGAATGAAGGGGTGCTGAATCATTGTGGACACAAGTGAGTAACCAATATGAAGAAAGTATGTTGAAGTGATGCGGTCACACAGAGAGAATGAATGAGGCTTGAATCACAAACTACATCTCTGAAGGAAGGAAGAATGGAGCGAGAGGAAGTGAAAGGCCAAGAAAGTCATGGCTGGATGGAGCTAATTGAAAGAGCCAGAAAGAGAGAAGCGAGAAATTTAAAGGACAAAAGGCAATGGATGATGTAGGGCATGAATGTGATAGAAGCAAAGGTGGTTTACACGGATAGAAAGGTATTGAGCAGTATAGTGAATGGAGTTGATATAAATTTGATTTAGCTATAGTTCCTTTTCTTTTTCTTACCGTATGTCTTAATTTATTGGGCTTACTGTATCTTACTGCTTTCTGTTCTTTGCATAACATTACTTACTCTGAAAAAGAATAATATGATGGTATGTGTGAATAGGCTAACCTTGTACTTACAAGTGCTGTGTTTCTGAACCCTGCTGGATTCTACAGCTAGGACCCTCACTTGCTATTGACAGTACAAAACAGGTACATGAACACTAAACTCAACATGACGTGCCCTTAATTATGTAACTAATGACATAACGGCCTAAATTGGTTTGGCAATTTTGTCTGCATGGAGATGGTAAACTTTGGTTGTGTTATAGGCGGGCTAATATGGATTAGATTTATAAAACTGTCTATGATGACATGCAACTGGACACAACGGCTGCTAAAAAGGAAAGAAATGCATCTGCTTATATGGTACAGACACAGATACCTCTTCCGTAAACTTCCCCATTAACTTAGATAAATATTTTAGCTCAAAACATAACAAAGTTACCTCCATTTAATCTGTCATCAGCACATTTCAGAGTTTTATTCGCATGATTAAATGTTCATGTTATTTTGGGATCTAGAGAAAATTAAATCACATGTGACCTTTCGATTAGGGCCTTCTACAATATACAATTAAATTCACTGGCTGCAGTCCTGGACATAGTGAGGCTCCATAAATCTTACCAACTTTCATTACAGGCAGGGTAGCAGCCGTTTTTAGCGAGCAATTTTCTCTTCTTTATGCTTATATTCCTACTATTTTTACAGGATCTCAGATTACCTATTCCTAGCAATCAGGTTGTTGGCATTTCAAAGATAATTTCCCCCTCCTGACTATTTTGCATTTACTGGAGTCTGACTGTCTGCCTTCTGTGCACTTGGTACCAACTTTGAAATAATATCCCAGTGATAACTAGAGCAAATCTTCTCCTGTGGAAAATAGAATTTTTTTTAAAAAAGTTTCTTAGTGTTGGATTAAAAGTGATCTGATTTCTTAAGATTATATCTTATCCCTTTATCTATTGCTTCACATCCATACTGCCAAATAATTTCCTAGAAGGAAATGAAATGTTTCCAAAGGCAAGAGAACAGGAAAAATATATGTATAAATTCAGTGTTCATTTTTATGAAGTGATAGTTTGAACTGGGGCAAATTGGATGGTCCCCTAATTTATGATGTTGATTCTGGGTCCTCCTGAGTTCAGGATCTGGTATATTCAATGGGATGCTTAAAACAAAAGCAGTGTCATAGATGCTTCTGTCCAAGGTCACGGCTTTGAAAAAAGGGGAAGTAGATCCCCCGTGACCCCTCTCTGAAAATCTTTAATTCAATTAAAAAACAAAATAACACCTCATGGATTTGAACAGATTAACTAATTCTTTTTCTCCCATTACTTTACAGAAATGTAATGTGATGCAATGTAATAACCTCTTACAAGAAGTTCCCCAAACATCTTTTTCTTCAGCTTTGCTGAAATGGACACCACACAATCTGTCTGAACCTTTAAGTCCTTCTCACCAGTTCAATCCTTGTGAGGGAATCACTTAATTTCCATACAAGAGAAACCCTGGGTGGAACCAACTGTATTCCAACCCAGCTTTGCCATCTTAAGTTATCTAGTCATTTTGAGCCCAGCTGCGCCATCTTAGGTGCTAGATGAATGCAAGAATGCCCTCTTTCAACTGGACCATTTATTTATGTAAAATATTTGTATGGCCACCTATCTTAGAACACAATCTGGGCATCTCACAACAATAAAAGCCATAAAAGCAAAAGCAAAACCTGGCACCACAGCCATCCCCCTTGGATGTCTTCAACAAACCATCCACAGGCTTCCATCTCACCCTATCCCAGTGCTTGTAGGAAGACCTAGCTCTTAATGGCCTTCTGGGAGGCTAAAAGGGTAGAGGCCTGCTGGAGAGGGGGCTTCTAAGGAAAAGACATGCTTCCTAGAACCCATTCAATGGCAGTGTTTAAGGGAAGGGTCCTGGAACACACCCATCTGGTGGAACAGACCTGGTGGAGCAGACAGATATGTAAATACAGATTATGTATTTATTTAACATATTTATATATCGCTACTGTCCCATAGCTTTATCAACTTGATCTCTTCCACCCAGTTCTCTTCTAGACCACCTGGTCATTTTTTTTCCTCTCAGTCTCTGTTTTCCTACTTTCTTGCTCCTTCTTTCTAACTCTGTGAGTTAGTTCTCACACTGAAAATAAAAGACAAGATCCAATCTGACCACTCTAAAATCCAAAGACAGACGGAAACTAGCGAGGGCGCTCAAAAGAGGGGGATAAGTAATCTGTTCTGTAGAGCATAGCAAAAATAAATAAATAAATAAAAATTAAATATAGGAAGGTTTGAGCCTAGTTTTTACAAATAGGGCTAGTTCTTGATTAATTGCAAATGCCAGAATTAATTATCAGGCTTAATCCATACAGGTAGAACTGAAATCACTTAGATACACTCACAAGAAAATCCAGGAACTGAGAATAAGTAATATATACTGATGAAAGTTGGAAAGCCATATACAGAAAATATGATACAGGTAGTCCCCTGGTTAA